GGGCTACGCGTCGGAGGATTTTGGGCGCGGATCGTCTTCTAGCTGTTGCGAGCGGAAGAGAGGTTAGTTTCTTAAAAGTTAGTGAAGTTGTTTTTGAGAGATTTTAGCTAGTTTTTGTAGTTTAGTTACTTCATGGAGATAATTTATTATTATTATTATTATTATTATTATTTGGGAATTTTTTCTGTTGGTGGTAAATTTTGCTTTAGATTTAGTGATTTGCAATTGCAGGGGGCAAAAAGAGTTTTGGCTAGATTCTGATGCGCTATATGTTGATTATTTTAGATCAATTAACAGAACACTATATAACGAAAGAGCTCCTAGCTAGCACATTGTATTTTCATCGAAATGGTATGGAGTAACGAGAAGATTGCATAATCAATCAAGCAAATTGGTTTGTAGAAAGCAAAATTGGAGCTTGGGAAGAATTAGTGAGCAAGACTAGTGCTATAATTAATTTATAACATGGCCTAGATTTATCTATCTTGCTTATCTCTGATACTTTGCTCTTTCTTGTGAGATTATAGGTGTAGGAACGTGAGAATTATTTTTATTGTTTGCTGACTTCCAATTCACTTGGGTGGATCTGTGGAAATTGGTTGAAGCGTGATTGATGTGTCTAGGAAAGGAAAAGAACATCTGAAGGTGGAAAGCTAATTTAAAGCTTATGTTAGGTATGTTATTACTAGAAAGATATGCATGTTTTACTGTGCTATATAAGTCTTTGGAGTTGGATGGGTCTGGTTGCCCAAGATTTCGATGTAAACGACGAAAGAGCTTTTTCGAGATGGAAGTCCGAAACCTACTTTAACCAAAACAGGCACTTTACTTTTCATCTAGATGGCCAAAATCAAATCTAACTTGACCTTGACCCAATTCATTTTACTCACAATTATCATTGGATTGTTCTAGATCTGATTTAAGAATTTTGAGACGTCCATCCGTGATAGAAGACGACAAACTAAATCTCTGTTACTTGTACTTGCATGTCCGGTACCTTTTGGGAGGTGCATGGTTGTCTATCTTGCCATAATCCTCTGCCATCATAATAGCATAGATTCCCAAACACGTTTATGTTTTCTTTTCATTCAAGCCCATAGGATCTAGACCTACAGGAATTTTTTTTTTTTGATTTTTGGTTTGTGTCTAGTTTTGATTCTACTTAGTTTTTGATGTATGATGGTCCATGGATAACGAAATGCACAGACTGAACCATTATGTTCATGTCATTGGGTGAATGCTGATGGAAAGAATGATGTTCTCCTAGTTGATTTTGCATATCGAGGAACTGTTTAATGAAGTATCTGTAATATCTTGGACTTTCTTCTCTGATTTCAGATCAGATGAATATCAGTTAAGGTGTTTGACAGCCAAAGGTACAAAATTGGTTTGTACATGAACTTCTGTATTCTTTGCTTGAGTGATTGGCTACTTACTCAATATGATCTGGATTGGAACATAATAGATCTGAGCCTGAAGTTGTGGTGTAATGATTTTCATTGTTTCTAATTATAATCTTGACAGATAATGTTATGACTTGCTTTGTGGGGGTGAAAGTGGACTATCAATTTTAATCAATTGTCATTGGGTAATCAAGATTATTGGGTGCTTTTGTTTAAGAAGATAACTTCATTGTCAAATCTTGCTTGACATAGGCTCTGTTTGGCAAAACTAGCTGAAAGCTACGAGATTATAGCTGAAAGCTGTTAAGCTAGCTTGACTAGAGTTGTTTGGCAAAAGTAGCTGTACAACTAGTTTAAATTTGTTAAATGACTAAAAAAGACATGCAATATTATTGATATAAAATTAGAATTATTAGGGGCAAAAACGAAAAAAAAAAAAATTTGGCAGCTCCTTCCCAAAGACGAACGCTACTTGAGGTAGTTTTCCAAAAGCTACTTGCAAAAGACACAATCTTCAAAATAATCTCCTTCTATTTTTGGTCACCAAACAGCTCTACTAGCTTATTGACCAAGTCAATAAGACACAAGCTCTTAGATAAGACACTTTTTTTGGTTGTCAAACAGTGCCATAGTCCCCACATTGTCATATTTGTTTGTCTGGGCTCAGTGATTAATATTCTTCATAACATGAGAAATAATTGTGCTGCCTCATCATCCTTATGTCGTAAATCTGGCTGTAAGGGATCATTGTCTCAGTTACATCTTTAAAGACACTGGTACCCATGATCTTGACTTGCCAATGCTTGCTATGCTTAAGGCCTCACTAGATCTTTTTGATGTGCGCAAATGCCCATGGAATTAAAAGGCATTTGCATATATCACATCATAATTTTAGTTGACATGACAAAGAACATGTTTATTGAATTTCCTTTTTCATCTTCTTCTGAATTTCAGTACTGTTTTCGTTGAACCCTTATGAGTTATGATGCCGTCGAAGGATGGTGTCCAACATATATGCTCTTTGATTATGTTCTTTTGAGCAGTCAATCATGAAGCTTATTCTATTTGAGCATCTTCATGTCCTAGAAGACACTGACAAGGAGAATCTCAAAAGTTCTTCAAGTTTTTATCTCAGTAACTTTTTTGTTTTTGTGAGGAGATTCTCATGCACAACTTAAAAGATAAAACTTCATAATTCTGTTATAGCTCAACTATTCATAAATGTGGGTTTAATTTAACAATATAAAATTGGAATGTTCTAACCAAACCTTAAACCTCAAGATGCTACAGGTAAACACTAATCTTTTTCCAGCCACCTTCCTTCATATCTTCTCCTTGTTTAGAAAAATGGTCTAATAGTTTTGTTTTTTTACTACATTTTTTGTATACAACTTTTGTGTTTTCCCATCTATACTTCTGAGCATCTTACCATCAGGACCAGTTAGCAAAATGCGGACTGCAAAGTTTATTGTTTATACTTCTGTTGAACTATTAATCCATCAAGTCCTTAACTTGCTAAGCAAATTTACAAAATCAAACTTGTGAGTGTTCCTTGAATTGTTGGAACAGTCAAATACATGAGTTTTGAGCTATTTCATGACTTGGGTTTTGAACTATTATGTAATACAAAAATGGGGACTAAGAAGGTCTTTTTATTTTTCAATCAAATTATTTAAGGTCTTTTTATTTTTCAATCGAATTATTTATCTGAAAATTATACTTGTTAATTTTCAAAGCAAACACACAAATACACATGCACATGGACCTTGGGTCTTTGAAAACAATCATGTATTTGACTGGATTTGGACTGGTATATAAATTGGAAAATTCTTGGCACCTGAGCCTAAGAGATTGTTGCGTACCTACTGAAGCAGCTCCCACCATCTTCTTCTACTTTGAGGTGTCTCATTGAGCAATTGAAGGTATTACAAATGTGGAAATGATGGTAGTCTATTCTTTTGTTTGACAATTTATTTGCAGGTGTGCCATGGACTGAGGAAGAGCACAGAATGTTTTTACTTGGCTTGCAAAAACTCGGAAAAGGCGACTGGCGAGGAATATCCCGCAATTTTGTGATATCAAGAACACCTACACAAGTGGCTAGTCACGCACAAAAGTACTTCATCCGTCAGACCAATACAAATAGAAGAAAGAGGAGATCCAGCCTCTTTGACATTGTTCCTGATGAAGTTAGTCCCCCCTCTCTCTTGTAGATGTTCATGTTCACATATTTGAATAACACAAACGTTACTTGTTTTGTTTTCATCGTAAGGCTAATTAGCACTTACATGCCTTATAGTTTATCCTACGTTGCTTTTATACACCCTAAAGTTCAAGTTCTTAAAGTTGGCACTTTAGTGCCTTCAGCTATGCAAACTTAAGCATATTCCCTTGAATATTCCAATTTGATATTCACATGCTAATTTTAAAACTTTTTAACACTTAACTATTATTGAATTTACTGTTAAACCCTATGTTGCATGGGTAGGGCTGCGGGTATACGACACGACAAATTTGTAAAAGGTAGGGTACGGGGACACGACTATAAATATTTATGTACACATATATTATATATTTGAATTAATAATTTATAAAAGAACAAGGATCTAAATTAAAATTCCTATAATATTTTTATTTCTTTTATTAATTGGATTATAATCACAAGCTTTTGAACTAGACATCTAAATTACCCTTCCAAATCATAATTCAGAATCTGACTTATGTCCGAGGAGTTCAAGAGGTTGGATGTGAAGTGTAAGATATATATCTAAAAAATGTATGACTGCTGTTTTAAATTAAAACATGTATTGTCTAATTGAGTACATGCCTCAAAAAAATGTATTCAAATATGTGAGGAGTGTCCAAAGAGTTAGAGTACAGCCTTACCGGTACGTGTTCGATACGGTATGGCTTTAGATTAGAAGTACCTAGGTAACATAGGTTGAGCCTAACCTAATTTTATTTGTGCCCAATTCTATTTAATTTTATTTAAACCCCTATTCTATTTTAAATGGAATTGGGATAGGTTTAACATTAAATTTTACAAACATTAAAGGTCAAAAACTTCCAAGAATGAGAATGCAAGTATCACATGGGAATATTTAGAGAAGTATTATCATGTGTGCATAACAAAATGTATTAATGTGCCAATTTTAAAAACTTCAGGGTATATAAGTGCTGTTAGAAACAAGTGAGGGTATACAAGTGTATAGTAGGGTAAACTTCAAGGTTTTTAACTGTTAATTGGTCTAATCTTAATGGCATAATTTGACGTTTCTCTACTATTCATCTTTCTCAGGCTGCTGAGTCTCAGTTCTTTCCTGTGAATGATCAAGAATCAGATAACCATGACAATGCTCCATTGCCACCTCCAAACATGGATGAGGAATGTGAGTCAATGGATTCTAACAATTCCATTGATGGAGAGGCAACTATCCAGAACCCCGAACCTTCACAGTGCACTTACACAACCCAAGAAACTTTGCAGTGCATTTACCCTGTCATGTATCCTACATTTCTCACTCCGGTTTTGCCATATCCATTGCCTCTATGGACATGCTCCACCGCAGATACTGCAGAGAAGCGCACACATGAAGTTTTGAAGCCAACTCCTGTACTTTCCAGGGCACCTATAAATGTTGATGAACTCTTGGGCATGTCAAACTTAAGCATCGGAGAACAGATTGTTGATAAACCATCCCCACTCGTGAAAAATTCTATTCGAGACTCAGGTAGACAATCTGCTTTTCATGCCAAACCGCCGTCAAGTGGCTCAACCGTGAAATCAAGAGTCCGTCGTGAGATCAGTATACGTGGGCCCTAATACTGAGGTCTGACGTATGATGTTTAAGCATCATCTTGTTACTAGCGGGTGCTTTATAACTGTAATTTCTGTATTATGTTATTCATATGTACGTGTATGCGAATGCTGTTGTATGTGACAGTAGTCACGGCTGACTCATAAAAGTGGCCAAGTTATTCTTGATTCTTTTCGTTTCTGGTTTGTGTACTTGCTAACATGCTTTACTTGTCCGAATTAATTGGTTGAACTATTCTGCACGGCGGTTGCTGTGGGTAGTAGAGTTGGTGGCACTCTCGTTATTTATGGCTTTTATTTTTTTATTTTTATTTTTATTTTATTTTTTTGCCTTCTCCGGATAACCCTGCTTGAGATATCTCTACTCTATAGTCTTATGACTGGTAATTTTATGTTCCAGACTTTGTGATTAATCCTAAAGTAATTATTAAAAAGATGGTATGATAGTCCTGCAATTTCTTCAAGTTACACTTTGTGAAGATCATCATATCTGAACTGTCCAATAAAATAAAAGCTTATTTTTTTTCCCCACATTGATAACCTATGGTTCTAACACTTGGATATCTTAAAGTTTCAATCTCGTTTCATTTTAAAGATTTATGTCACCAACAAGGGAGTAAAAAGTGTTGTTGGGGAGTAATCAGGCCCAATTTAGTGTTTTAATGGGTCTAAGTAGAGGCTAGGAATCAATTTTAATCCAAAAGTTAAAACAACTAAGTATTTATCCTAACTCATATTTTAAACTCTATCGGTACTGTTTCTTATCCTATCTAATATGGAACTATACTCACATGCTAGTAACCTCAACAAAATGAACCGAAATCTCATACAATTTAACAAAGTTGAGATATCAATGCTGGCTTAAGGTTCACTGCACTATGAATATCAAATTCCGCGAAGAAAATTTCCAAGCTTGGTATGACAGCGAAAAACCAAGATTTCACTTTCACGACAAAACTAGTCGTACTAATTAGCGGGAGAATAACATGAACCACTATGGTGAATCGGTGATCCAAAGCACAATATGGGCATGTATTTAGATAAATTTAATTATTATATTAAAGAGCTAGAGCTATCATCAAATCCCCATCCGTAGACACTAAAAAATACCAAGAAACGAAGGAGGGTCGAACCTCGCTACAAGCACGACGATGGTCGTCACAACAACGAACCTCAGCCTCAATTCATGAAGTTTGTCTCAGCTAAATAGGACAAATAGTGTGGAGAAGAACTTGAAAAAAAAACAGATTTTTGGTCATAAGTCGACTCATGCACATGCATACGTCGACTTATGGTAAGTCGACTTATGTTTGTGTCGTAAGTCGACTTATGATCTGCTGTGGATTGTTGATTTTGGGCTCTGGCAAGTCGACTTATCAGGTTTGACAAGTCGACTTATGATCTCTTCTCCTGTTATCGTTTTTCGCTCTGCCAAGTCGACTTATGCAGACTGATAAGTCGACTTACGACGGGTTTTTTTGGAAAGTTCAGGTTCCTATTTGCAGTCGGTTTGGGTTTCTGTTTTGGTATAAATACCAATACGATTTGAGGGTTTTGTAGGAGCATATTTGGGGATTTTGGAGCACAGAAAAGAGAGATCTTTCTGAGCTATTGGTTAGGGTTATTGGTTGAGAGGTTGAGAGATTTGTTGGTGAGATTAGTTGATTCATTTGAGCGATTTGTAATCTCAATTTGTACTCTCCTTCTTTATTAGTGGAAACCCTCCCCCTTCTTGCCCTTTGAGCGATTTGTAATCTCAATTTGTACTCTCCTTCTTTATTAGTGGAAACCCTCCCCCTTCTTGCCCCGTGGACGTAGGCAATTGCCGAACCACGTTAAAATTGGTGTTTGTGTTTGTGCTTTGATATTTGGTTGTGTTTGGCCTTCTTTGATCGGCGTTTGTTTTGGTTCCTCGGCGCCGCCGTCCGTGTCAACAAGTGATATCAGAGCTCGGGCTACGCTTGGGCTATTTGGAGGAGTAGATTGCTTTGGAAGTTCGTCTAGGGCTTCGTTTGGTGATAAAGGTGAGATCTTTTTGGTAAAAATCTCGTCTTTTTCAGTTTGGATCTATTTCTCGTTTGTTTCCGCATTGGTTTGGTGGTGTTTTGAGGATTATGGCCGAGAAAGAAGGAGTTGTGGGCAGTACTTCCGGCGTAAAGACCGTCCAAAGCTTGAATATCCACTCGATGAAGATTGACGTGGAAAAATTCAATGGCACAAACAATTTTGGACTTTGGCGATGCGAAGTCATGGATGCGCTCAACGCGTAAAATTTGGAAGATACGTTGGAGTTGGACGGGAAACCGGACAATATTAATGAGAAGGTTTGGAAAAAGATGAATCGAACGGCGTGTGGTGTGATTAGGTCTTATCTCACTCAAGATCTAAAGTATGATGTGATCAATGAGACTTCTGCAAAGAAAATTTGGGAGATCCTTGAGAGCAAGTATTTGACCAAGAGTGTGGAGAATCGCTTGCATTTGAAGAGGAGGCTTTACCACTTCCAGTTGAAGAAAGGAACCTCCATTGGTGATCACATGAACCATTACACGAAGCTTCTTGCGGATTTGGCAAATGTAGATGTGGTGATTGAAGATGAGGACAAGGCGTTGTTGTTGTTGAGTTCCTTGCCCGACGAGGAATATAAGACCTTCGTTCTTACTCTTATTAATGGGAAGGCATCTCTTTCATATAGCGAGGTCACCGCTGCACTTGTGAATTATCAGCTTCGAAAGAAGGATAAGGAGACTTCGATTGAGCCGATAGCGGGGGCGTTGGTCGCAAGAGCAAAGGGTCCAAACCGTAGTGGGAGGAGCCGATAGCGGGGGCGTTGGTCGCAAGAGCAAAGGGTCCAAACCGTAGTGGGAGGTCGCAGTCTAGAGAAGCACATCTTGGAGTTCGTAAGAATCAGTGTGCCTTTTGCAAAGAGGATAGACATTGGAAAGCCGAATGCCCAAAGTTAATTGATCGAGCTGGGAAGAATAAGGGAAAAGCTATTCAAGCTTCAGAGGCGAATGTTGTCAAGGCTAGTGGCAACGATTCAGATTCGGATTCTTCGGGCTACTCATTATCTGCACTGTCATCAGTTTGTGTTGCCTACTCTACAGAGTGGATGTTGGATTCGGGGGCTACATACCATATTTTCCCTAGGAGGGATTGGTTCTCCAGCTTTCAGGAGTTAGAAAGAGGGGATTTCGTGCTCATGGGGAATGATCACAAATGCTCTATTGGTGGTATTGGTACTGTTCGGATCAGGATGAGTGACGGGGTGATTCGGGAGTTGGTTGGAGTGAGGTTCGTTCCTCAGTTGAAGAAGAACATCATTTCACTTGGAGCTTTGGAGGCAGCTGGCTATAGGGTGACCTTGGCGGATGCACGCTTGAAGGTTACATTTGGGTCCATCGTTTTGTAGTTTCCGCAGTTGATGATTGTTCTAGGCATTATTGGGTCGCGACCAGTTCCCGTTGGTGTAAAGTCTTAGAAGTCAACAACAATTAGAAGAAGTGTATTGGCAGAAAGGTAACTCGTTGTTCTAGATTTGGTAGGGGTCCTTTCTTGCGTTTGTGCCGAGCTCACGGCAATAGGAGACACTTTATTGGTGTGGAGACTTTGGGGCGACGAGATGAGATGATAGTTTCGATGGGTCGTTCCTTTCTGGAGGAGGATCGGCGTTGGTTGTCGAGCATTGGTTCTGGAGCTTCGACATATTTAGGTCATCTTAGTCACAGGTCGCCGACTGCTGCATTAGGAGTTATTGGATCAGGTGGAGCTGCTTCAGATTTTGGGTTGCGTCGGATATTTGGATACCCAGCATTTGGTCACATCGAGGATGTGAGATTTGATCCGATCGCGCGTTTGGGGTTCGGAGGCTCAGTTGATTATCGTTTGCTCGGCAGGTGGAGAGTGTTGATCAGGTCGTTTGGATATCGCAGCAGGTGGAGAGTGATGCTACTCCATATTGGGTGGAGATTACTCCACGTACTGCAGATCATACTGCGTCATTTGGGATTCCAGCTGAGGTGACACAGGTTGGGGATCATTTGATTTCGGATGCAGATGATGGATTGGTTTTGGATTCGGTTGCTGCTGGTGGACATGATTTGGATACGGCCATTGGTTCACCTCATATGGAGGTGTTTGATTTGTATTAGTTTGGGGCCGCTATCAGTTACAGATCCGTCGGCGATATTAGGGAAGAGTTGCATACTTTTCTATTTGTTTGAGGGCCTTTGGAGGCCGTTTGGGTGAACTACGTGAATGCTTGATTCCTTGGGCAAGAGGATACATAGGCAGTCTTTATGATGCAGGCGATTTGGTGAGCGACATCGACATTTGGGGTGAGTGTTCGCACTCCCATTTGGGTCTCAACATGTGAGGCATTTGTTTGGTTGGTGTCGGCTCAGTTTTGGGAAAACTTCGCCGAGGTGGAGAATTGTGGAGAAGAACTTGAAAAAAAGCAGATTTTTGGTCATAAGTCGACTCATGCACAGACATAAGTCGACTTATGGTAAGTCGACTTATGTTTGTATCATAAGTCGACTTACGATCTGCTGTGGATTGTTAATTTTGGGCTCTGGCAAGTCGACTTATCAGGTTTGACAAGTCGACTTATGATCTCTTCTCCAGTTGTCGTTTTTCGCGCTGCCAAGTCGACTTATGCAGACTGATAAGTCGACTTACGATGGGTTTTTTTGGAAAGTTCAGGTTCCTATTTGCAGTCTGTTTGGGTTTCTGTTTTGGTATAAATACCAATACGATTTGAGGGTTTTGTAGGAGCATATTTGGGGATTTTGGAGCACAGAAAAGAGAGATCTTTCTGAGCTATTGGTTAGGGTTATTGGTTGAGAGGTTGAGAGATTTGTTGGTGAGATTAGTTGGTTCATTTGAGCGATTTGTAATCTCAATTTGTACTCTCCTTCTCTATTAGTGGAAACCCTCCCCCTTCTTGCCCCGTGGACGTAGGCAATTGCCGAACCACGTTAAAATTGGTGTTTGTGTTTGTGCATTGATATTTGGTTGTTTTTGGCCTTCTTTGATCGGCGTTTGTTTTGGTTCCTCGGCGCCGCCGTCCGTGTCAACAAATAGCACCTCACCCCTCAGAAGACGAACTTCGTCATTGAAGACGAAGTTCACCCAGAAACGAAGTTCGCCATTGAAGACGAAGTTCATCAGAAACAAAGT